GTAGGGGCCAATTGGGCCCGAGTTCGGACTGGTTTGGGCCAAGTTTGGAGCCCAACCAGTGAGCTGATTTGGCCTAGGCGGTGGCACCGCCTAGGCTAGGGAACATAAGAGAATTCAAATTTTTGGAGCGCTGGGCGGTGGCACCGCCAGCATCGGGAACATAAGAGAATTCAAATTTTTGGAGCCCAAATTTGAATCCTCTTGAGGCCTATAAATACCCCTCAAGTCTCAGCTGAGAATACAACTTTTTGAGCAGCAATTGTTTGAGAGAAAGGTCTTAGAAAAGTTTTTGCTAGTCTTGTTTTCAATTTGCTAGTGTTCATATCCTTCTTTCTTGCTAAAAATCTGTAAGAGAGTGAACCGCTTGTAAAAGGTTGTAAGAGGGGTATTTGCCCTTCCATTTCAAGAGATTTGCTAGTGGAAGGTGGGAGCCTCATCGAAGAGGGGCCTCGCAAGTGGATGTAGGTCATTTGACCGAACCACTATAAAATCGGCGTGATTTCTTGTTTGCATTTACTTATTGTCAATTACATTACTGTAAACCATTTGCACTTTAATGCTCTACTTCTTTGTCTCCGTCTTACTTATCTCTTCAAGTTAAAACGCAATCGAAACGGTTTCAAACGAAAACATTACTTTTATCGTACAAAGTTTTCGAAAGTGTTTAAATCGTAAAAAGTTGATCACACTTTACCGCTGCACTAATTCACCCCCCCTCTGAGTGCCGCTCCGATCCTAACAGAATCAAACTACTATTGAAGCATAAATTCAAGGATCACATAAATAAACATCTAACCAAATACTCTATATGCATTACAAAATATAAATATAGATTTTATAAGTTCTAAACGATCATTTAATAAAAGAAAAGGTTTAAGATAACCTACCATGTATAAAATCACTATGCATAAGTGTTCGTACGATACCCATTAGGTACTCGACGTTTCATACCAAATCGCCACTTTCATAAATCTCAATTAGTTGTTAGCTAAAAGCTTCATTTTACATAATTTTATCTCTCTACAATATGCGGGTTGGATAAAAGTTATAAACAATCAAAAAATTCAACTAAAATGAAGTCATCAAGCCTACTACAAATCCCTTACATTATTAAGGTATGAACAAATCAATAAATCATGAATATTATATCGAATACCTTAGATAATCATTGATAGCACAGTGATTATGCATGTCTTAGTAAAAAATCTTTTCTCTTACCTTTCACTGTCAAAGAACATAGATTGGGTGGATTATACCCCATTTGTATTCTTTAATGCCAATTAATTTGTCTCTTCCTATACACATATTCCGAGGAAAAGATTCTTCCTTGTAGGATTACGTAAGAAGACAAAGCTACATGTACATAAATAATATGAATAAACTCCAAAAGACTCCACATGTTGTTAGGATTAAAACGCCGTGAGGCACGAACAAGAACAGAAGCAGCAATCACATCAGAGAGATGACATGTTTTGGACCATAGTGAGTAATTTTACACTGTCCTGAGAGTATGTAGAAGAATCACCCATTTGTTTTCGAGCATTACCTTAAGCTCATCGGTTACTCTTCTTTTCAAAACACTGTGCACGGAGATATATGAGACCATCGACGTTACTACATGCATGCCGGTGTTGGCGGATTCTTTGGTAGGAACCAAATTATTTGGAGAACTAATTAAAATTTTAATGATAAAATTGGGATCTAATTATTCTATAAATATTTTACTTATATAAAGGTTTAGAAAAAAGAATTATCCTAGATTGTCCAAAGAGAGTCATATTATTTGTATCTTACTATTCTCATATAGTGAAGGATTTGAGTTTTTCTACAAGAACATGAAGAACATGTAAATCTCGATCTTATTATTTTTTATTATTGATTCTCTCGAACATTATCTTCGTACTCATGTCAATATATTTGCTCCATATTCTACATGATTTTCTTTTCCTTGCCAACTTGAAGAAATTATAATTATGTTAATTACCTCCTTGTACTCGATGTGGTCCATAATTCATGCAAATCATTACCACAAGGTACTAATTTAGTAAAGAAAAGGTGAAATTTACAAAAGTTACCTTTTGGGAAAAAAAAAGAAAAAGAAAAAATAAATTAGTAAAGAAAGTGACAACTTTGACGTCTTTTCTATGCGCATGTGATCGTGGTCTCTATTCCGTTCGCTTGTTCATCGAGTGGAGAAGCAACATGGAGGCCACAATCTTTCTATTATTTGGAGTTGGATATATGAATTAGGAGTATTTAAATATTTATTTATAGTTTCTAATAAATTTTTTTTATGTCTCTTCTTATCTTTACCCATACTATTAATACTAATTGTTTTAAATCTTCTAATTATAGTATCTATGTGTCAAATTAGATTTTTAATGTCTGATTGAGATATTGGTTCAAATTAGATATTTATCTACAAGTGAAGTAGTGTCATGCAAACAAAGATATCTCCTAATTGAATCTATAAAGATTTTTTATCAATACATTTTTGTTAAAACTCCTTTGACACTTAAGTTAGTTTTGATTCAAATGATCAGACTAAATATCAAGTCTATTCGAGAGCAAATACACCAGGAGAACTTTGAAATAAAAAATATATATTTTTATTATATAATCTGAGATCATCGTTTTCGATGCTATAATTAAATATCGAAAACGATTATGTTTCCTTCGATACTAAATGCGATCACGAAGCATCGAACACAATGAACATAGTGTAATGAAGTCGAATCCTATATATCAATCTTCGTAAAGTTAAATCGATCGTTATATTATCCGAAAAATAACAACATGGTGATCACATTATGATGTGAGATTCATGGTCGATCTAATTTAAAAGAATTAAAAAAAAATATATCTCGAATTTGATTCAAACACATTTGAGCCTTGGGATTAAATAGACATCCAATATGATGTGAGATTCATGGTCCATCTAAAATTCTCGATAAAACGAACGGGTGAAGTGCCATTGAGGACGGAGCTCGGAAAGGAAGAAGACCACCTCCGTGCATCAGCCGTCGTCCCATTCAGATCTATCTATCTGTCTGGCCGCGTGAGGGACATCATCGGGTGTCAGTGTTGTAGCAACTTTTTATTTTCTTTCTCGTGGTCCTGTACGCATCCAATCATTCTCTTCCACATTCCTCCGCAGCATTCACCGAACGCAGGGATCGGTGTTTCTTTTCGCAATCATGTCTCAAGTACTATTACTGTGGTCATCTCAATGTCATTTTGAGCTCAATAAACATTTGTGAAAATATCCTTCTTTTTTATTTTTATTTTTATTTTTTGAAAATTATTTTTATTTTCAGAACTATCTCCTCTTTCTTACCTAATATCTTACACATCTTGAGACTAAAAATATTACAATTTCTTAGAAGTATGTTCTCAATAATACTAAAAATATTACGATATAGTAAAAAAAATGACAATATATTATATTATTTTCCTGGTACTACTATATTTTAAAAATACTATGTTATACGTTGTAGTGTTTTCTTAGTATTATTGAAAGCGCTATAACATAATATAAAAATGCTATAAATATTACAATTTTTTTATAAAAACATTGTGTTATAGTGTCTTTGTCTTATATTATAGTATTTTTTTTGTATTGATGAAAATACTGTAACATAGTATTAAAAACATTATAACTAGTTCCATTCACCCTATGGATGGATCTATCAAATCAGGAATATTTTAGGCATTAGATTAAAAAAAAATGCCGTTAGAAAATTCTGAAAATGAAAAGCACTTTTTTTTTAAAAAAAATCCTAATAAAAAATCTTTTTTCAAAAATTCACCCTAATAATTTCGTTTCATCGATGCCTTTAATTATATCTTAAGACATCTAAAAGTTTATAAAATTTTCCTTACTAGCTAAACTAATAAATATCTTAAAATAAAAATATGTCGGATGAGATTTTCTCTATAAAATAGATCTTATATGTCATCCTGAATATTTAATATATATAAAATATACAATCGAACAATAAATGAGTGTGATACATCACCACCTAAAATTATAGACCTTTGTACGTACCAATATACTGAAGCTATACATTTTAGCCGCTAACTTCGAGAAACCTTTAGACGTGGATGATTGCTCTCATTTAGAAGTACAGGACAAGCTCGCCCATATAGATATAGGTTTGGTATTGGATTTTTGTAAATCCCAAAAAGTAGGAGTACCAATTGGAGATAACTTCTGTGGCTGGCTGTCCGGTTGCATACTTTTGGTTCTTTTGATGACATGTTAGTCATGTGTTTCTAATTGCTTATGTAAATAATCTTCTTGAATTTTTATGGGATTCGAATTAAGAATATCGGACGAGATCTCAAACCCTCAATCATTCGTAAAAGGATATGGTACATCAACACCAGATTAATGTTTTAGTTGTACAAGTTAAAGAGTCATCTTTTGTATCAGATGATATTGGAATTGATATGGGAGATCAGTATCTCCTCAAAGGACGGAAAGGAGGAAATGGAGAGATGAAAGCTATAGCCCAATACTGATAACTCATATAGACAAGTAGAGTCTCAAATGAGGATCTTCTATGTGAAACTTTATGGCCTAAGAACTCAGTGAATGGTTTGGGACTGTTCATAGTCTGGACTCTTTCTCCTATATTTTAGATCCTATATTTCAGAATGTGATGTCTCTTGTCGAATAAAATTCCTATTCATTAAATATATATGTATGTACGATATTTCTTTCACGGATCGAACTTGACAACCTTATCTCAGTTGACAGGTCCACTCTGATGGGTACCATGAGCATGCTTATTTTTGTCTCTGGATCATGTGAATCTTAATGTGCATGAATGAGTCTTGTACCCAACTTGGAAGCTACGACGATTATTTAGGGGTCCTTTTTGCTGATCCGAACTTGTAGAACTACAATCCTCTAGCATTCATTGTTGATGATGCAGCGCAGCTGTTGACATCATATTGACAAGCAGAGAAAGGGATACCAACAAAACAATGCCCACTTAACAGCAACTCATGTCTACTTCGTTTATTGTTCGTGAGCTGATAGATACAGTGAAGTTGCAGCGACATTCTAATGATGCGAAGATTATTCATGTCCGAGAGGAAAGAGATGATAAGCAAGCTGACGCCATCTACTGCCTATGTATGGATCAGTCGTCGCAGTGGAGGAATCTGGCCAGTGATTCGAGTTCCCGATCCAAACTGGTTTGAGCTGGATCACACATCCAGTCCTCGAGCATCCCCTCGTTTGCGGCGTAGAGATCGCAACGCGAGTCGTCTCCACACAGCGAAACCAAATTGAGGTGTGGAACCTGCACGGCGGAGGCGGCTTCGCCCGCGTCGGAGCTCATCAACAAGTCCCACCAGTTCCCTTCCGTAAGAATCGAGAAGGACTCACCGGGCACCGACTCCGGTGCCTTCTCGGCCTCGGAGACAGCAACCAAGTCTCCCTCTCTACTTACCTGCACGAAGTGGTGCAGACTGGAGAGCACCACGGCGGGCTCGTGCTGGTTCTGCACTTTCTTCCTCAAGTAAGTATTCCAGTAATTCTTGATCTCGTTGTCTGTTCGACCGGGCAACCGCCCGGCAATCAGCGACCACCTGCGGAGAAGATTCAGAACTCTCGTCGATGAGAGAAGTACTCACAGCAAGAGAGTACCTGTTTCCTATGAGCTTGTGGAGTCGGATGATGAGGTCCTCTTCCTCCAGAGAAATGTTCCCTCGCTTGATATCAGGCCTCAGGTAGTTCAGCCAACGAAGACGGCAGCTCTTCCCGCACCTCTTGAGTCCTTCAACCAAAAGACAGAATTAGACAGCTGCCGTGCTCGGCTGTACGTACAACAGCAAGCCTGCATCTGAGCAGCTCCACAGAGAGAGTCAGGTTTTCGTCTGCACCTGCTTTCTTGGGGAGGCTTCTCCATCTTCCTTCCCCGTGGGTCTTGATGTAAGCTTCCAAAATCCCGTCCTCCTCTGCAGTCCAAGCACCTCTCTTGAGATCCGTCTCTTTAGCGCAGCAAGGCTTCCTTCCCATTCCGAATCCTAAGAAGTAGAATCTTTTGGCAGACTATTTCTTCGGATTAAGGCTGCAGAACATATTCCCCTCCGTGCGCAGCCACGGTTTATAAGCCGAGTTGGTGATGCTGTTCACATGTGAGGAATCTGAATCCTGCGAGCCTTGGCGGTACTGCATGTGTCAACCCATAATACGCAGCTTTCTTTTCATTAGGTACAAGGAATAATAAGAACCCCTATAACTACAGGATTAGTAGCTAACCACGTTGATCGGTGGCCTATTAGCCTAAATGCTAAGGCTACCTATACGATTTCATTACGTTTAAGGTTATGATTTTATTGCAGACTCACAAGTCTTTCTTGCTCTCTCGATCGTACTACCAGTGCACGTCACCTAATCACTTCACCTGCCCTTCTAACTGGAACGTGGCAAACCTACCTTTCGCACCATTTCAAGGTTGCTTCACCACAACCGTTAACAATGCATACTATTAGATATTTAATAGATTCTAAAAGTTATTGGCGAATAAAAAGAGAATCCTAATCCTAACCTTGTTGAATTATGATGGTAATATAGATAGTCAAAATAAAAGAAAGGTTTGTATGTCACAGATCATTTCGATTTCAATCTTATCGAGGATGTTGGATTATTCTAACGCAAACTTCTCAGACGGTGGTGACTACCACCGGTGCAAGCTTGCACTGACTGATGCATTGTGTTGGTGAACAGATGCACCGTGGCTAGTGAATCAGCACGGTTAGGTCCACGAGTCGATGCGGGAGTCTACGATCGATCGAACAGGTTGTCGAGGTTGATTACACCCGCGGGTTGGGATACCGCGTCCGTCTGAGGAAGGCGCCTCGGTATGGATGCTGGCATCGTCTTCGAGGGAGCGCCTCTCGATCGGGGTGGTCGCGCTTCCGGGGATGTCCACGCTCCTGCACACAAGGCTCTCGTCGGGCGGTTCCCGATTTTGGTCCATCAACGATTAAGTTAGTGTTTGGTTCTTTCTTTTTTTTTCCTCCCCTGGCCAAATGCTAGTCAGGGGCTTTTTATACTACTATGCGAGGATCAGTCATATGCAGGTTTGGCACGACAGTCAATCCTCGAGGGGCGAGATGGTACCTTCGTACGATCGTCGTTCAGAGCTTACCGAGATAAAATGTCCCGAGGGGTGTCTTATACAGATTCTGACTCGACGCATGAGAATATTTTTTTTATTGATCTGACGGTGTTGTGGCGCGACGTCGATTGTGACCGAGCCCAAAATATATCTTATCACACGGCATCTACTATAGACCGTCGAGCACGAGTAAAAGTACGGAAGATGCATGTGTATTCTCTTGCAACATTAAATTCATCTGTCCTTGCGACACACTCATCATCACCTGTTCGTCGTCGTACCCCTCTTCCGCAGAACTTGTCCCTTGCAGCGATTCGGCCCTGCCTTTGGATCGTCAATCAAATGAGGAGGCACAGAAAATTCTCAATGACCGATGTTGATGTTACAGCAAGCCTACGTTGGACAGTCATATTTTGTCGCATGCTTTCTATTTGGATATCCGAAATCGGAATTGATTAGTATAATATTTCATAAGTAATAATTTCTCATATTCGAATTTATCATTTGATCTTATGAAAAATTTTATAACAAAATTATTTGACGTAATAATTTTTTTTCTAAAAAAATTGTGCAATGTATTCATTTATCTCCTTTTAGGTATATGGGTGGAGCCATATACCTAATCTTAATGAGATTGTGCAGCAAATTGTACTGAAAAACCGGAGGAAATAATTGTTGGAGAATTTAGTGTATTTTATTATTATTATTATTAAAAATTTACTGATAATTTTTTGTTATTTATAATATTATTTTGATAATTTTTAATATTCTAATATATCCTTATATAAATGGACATAAATATCTTCAATTTATCGCTTAATTCGAACAAAATATTCCAACTCCTTTCATATTATTTTTCTTTCCCTTTTTTTTTCAAGATGGTCGAAGCACCGTGGGTACGATTAGGGTTCTAGAGATGGTTAGATGGGATGTAGGTAGGGATTTAACAAAAGGATTATGGGAATGATTGATCGATATATAAAATGAGTTATGCAAAGTAATGATAATTGAGAGGTCACGTGAAATAAGGATAAAATGGATAATTGAGGGGTTCTATTTAGTAAAATTATATTTTATTATTTTCTTAAATGATTTATGAAGCAACGGAGTTGTCAGTAGCAAATAAATTTTTTGAGTCGAATATTAATGACAATTCGAACCTTAACTACTAGGATTTCATAGGAGGTAAACAAGATTATATTGATGATATGGATATAAAAAAACATGACCATAGATTAACCTTCTCTTAATCTATCTGAACGAGGGAGCAAAAAAAAATTTAAATAACAAAATTTATACATTATATATACAATAAGTCATAGTGTTAGGATCTAATTTGGTTAACTGGTAAAGGTCTTATCATATCACCATTGTACCTCAAAAGGCTTAGATCGTCATGATATGACAAGTTGGAATCCAAATGTCGAACATAACTTTCTTCGAGAATAAGCAAAGAAAAAAGAAAAAGGAAAAAAAACAACGAGATTTGATCCTAAAATTTTAATATTTATAGTCATCCATGCATATTGATATTTTCTCTCTCATGCTTTAATTTATAAGATTCTCATATTACATGAACATTTTTTAACTAGAGTTCATACTATTGCAAATAATCAATCAATTACCAGTGTTCTTATCTCTTTTTTAGTTATATAATTCATAAGTATTTATCAATCTTTTTTTTTAATATCATGAACATTTATCGAACATCGTCACACATCATGGTTCGACAAAAGTATACATATTTTCAACATGAATCTTGTCATATATTTGGCCTATGCAATAAGCATATAATGCTCAACAATGTTATAGGTGAGAGAAGCAAGCAATTCACGAGCATAAATGGTTGGGTTTATGGTGATCAAAGTGTCTAAGTTTGTGCCCATAGTCCTTCATCATCAAAGAGACATCTTAGTGGTAATGGTAGATCAAAGAAGTGAAAGTTCAATAATAGAAGAAAGAGAAAATTGTTCTTCATCAAAGAAAGAGTGGTAATAGTAGAAGAAAGAAGAGTAAGAATCAAAGCAAACATGTGACACGGTAGACGCCACCACACAAAGCAATAATAATATAGGCTCAAAGCAAGGACGAAAGATTCCAAGTATATATCAACACCTCATGCACGTGATGAGGAGTTCGATCGTTCCCTTTAATCTTTTTCTATTAGCTACAAAGTCTACAATGCCAAATGCTATCTCACCATCAACAACGGTTGAGAACAAGTTATTCGTAACATTTCGGAATTATGTTGGCATATTCTTCTATTCTTCCATAAGAAAACAAGAACAGTGTCATCTTCTACGTTAGAGGTCGAGAATAAAGATGAAAGTGTCATCTTGTGCTCTAAAAAACATTATCGAGATCAAGGATGATGGTAGTGTTTTATATGTCGATAGGCATTCGAAGATGATCTACCACGTTATGGGCACTTTCCAACTTGTTGAATCATCGAACACACCAAAAGGACACAATATTGTATTATAGTATGCCAACAACCATCATGCCATATCTCAAGTGAATATTGTATGTAATAAACATGGTATAAAGTGATACATGCATGTCCAGTGCAATCATAATTATAAGGGTACGGATTTGATACAAATAATGATTTTGGACTTCGAACTATCTTAGTTAAATGATTTTGAATGATCACGTACAAGTAATATTGCAAATTAATATAGTATAGTCGGATTTAATCTAATATGCTAAATAAATTAGCTTCCGAACATGACAAGGAACCTACTGATTGTATTATAACATAAAGAGAATATTCGCTCGTTAAGTAAGTGGTTATAAAATTAACGTATTGAAGTAATACTAAACTCTCTATAATTTTTTACACCTACCGTATATGAATACTGACTTGATTGTTAGAGGAGTTTTATTGTTGGTACTCTTTTATAAGAACAAAGTGAGATGAGATACGAGATATAAATACTTTTTACCCTCGATTGAAAGTTATCCTCATATAGTCATGATTCTCACATTACATCCTCTCAAGAAGAACTTTTTTTCTATTCTAGACATAGCATTGTTTGAAAAAAAAGACCAATTACATCACATCGGGTCAACAATTCATATCGAAAATATTAGATTTGATATTCGACTGAAATCTATACCAATAGTATAATGTCCACCTAAATCACTATGGGCATATAGACATAAGATTGGTTGCCCAATCACTTTGTAAGATTTCAAAGGATTTAGGCATCGGATGCTTAATCTCATGGGCTAAACATCCACTATGACTAGTACTTACTATGTGATTTATTATTCATTCTATAAATTTCAAAATATTAATCCATAGTATTAAACTTATGCTTAGTAATTCAGTGTGCTATTAGATAGTCTAAAATGTCAACTATTTAGACTAACTTTGACTGGATTCTTTTGGTAGACAAAATAACCTTTCTAAATTAACTTGATATTATTAATAGACTCTTAAACAATATGTAGGTAATTTGTGCTTCTTTCCCTTACAAAGCCTCAACTTGGTCATCTAATCTGCTCACACGATATCTAATATCTTATGCAAACTAAAGACAAACACTTAGCCATTGGATGGTGAGTTGTGTGAAATCCAAATGGGTCCCTAAAGTATTAACCAAAATCTTCTAGAGTTTAGATCCAAAATCTTGCATCAACGTTAGGTTCGCTCTACTTGTCTTCTGGCCTCCTCTTATAGAAGCTAACTTGTCTTGGCATGACATGTATCAACCATATTAAAAAATCCTACCTAATAATAGAGTTTTTTTTTTTTTTTTTGAAGAATACTGGTTAGATTAACTGGTAAAAATCTTGATGGTTGATAGTAAGCTCTTAAGATTGAATTTTATTTTCACCATTTATCTTTGTAGTAAAAAAAAAAAAAAAGAAAGAAAGAAACTCCTCACCTTAGAATCATGAATTATTGGTATTCTTTTACCCTAATATCTTCATGTGCACCAAAACGTATTGCTTGGCGATCAAAGTACTTCAAGACAAATAAGACCTCTACATGTTCATAGCAAAAACTATAGTTGTCTTGTTAAGAGTTTAAATCTTATTAGTGTACAACGAGTGCTAGACTTAAATCAAACTTAGTTCTCAATCCTTAGAAAAGTAGATAATGGGGAATTCCTCCATAATAATAGTTAGAACCACTAATTCCAATTTCATGGTCATAAGATGACCCCAAGATCCAAACCCCAAAACACACTGCTTCATTTACCACAAAGTTTTTATTCTCTCTTAAAATCTAAACTCACTCAAATTCATAGTTAAATCTTCATCTACTTCCATACCCTTTTGGTGGAACGCAATGCCACATATTGTTGTAATTTAGAACTAGTGTTTTTTTTCTTAAAATAATCAGTAGATAAATGCCCAAAAAGTTCATTCCCAATCATCCTTGTAAGCTTGTACTTAGTGATTGCTAAGTTAATGGAATTGACCTAACAACACCACGCCATGTGATCCCAAAGCTAGTTGGAATGTTCGCTAAGAACGCACGAGTCCTTTGAAGGGCTGATGCGAGATGCTGAAAGCGACTTCGTATGATGCTTAATTCGCCTTCCTCGGTAGCTATAAGGCATGCACAGAGGCTTTTATGACATGGAAGAAGACCCACCCAAGTAAACCTATCACCACAAGAATTAATGCAACTCTCGATCAATCTCCTAAGCTACAAATTGGTTGTCACAATGTAAACTTTTTTCCTCATGAACATAAAAGGATAGAAAGGCCAAAAAACCCATGTGGTCTTTGCAGGACTTGTGCTAGTTGGTTTGGTGTGTGTCCTCACTCGTTGATGCAAGATAGAATTCACTCGTTTCCTCTCCGCGGAAATTATTGTGGGACTCATGAGGTTGAAGACCACATCGTTGTGCTTGTCCTTATTTGCTCTCTATAGGTCCCATGTCGTACAATGATCTCAATATTTTGTAGCAATGCCTTGCAGAAAGGCTTGTTTTTGGACCCAGCATCCTAATGTTATTATTTGGCACCTTTGGCCAGCCGTTCCATGCATCCATCATACATTTACATACATGGCCTTTTATTTACGGGATGTGCCCCTATCTTCCTTTCAACCAGCATTAGTATTTTGAGCCCCGCTCAGAAATGGCCGATCTCGTAAAGCTAACACTTCTACATATAAGAACGTAGTCTTATATAAGAACTCATCCTTATTCTTATTATTATTATTATTATTACCGTCATCATCATCATGTCAATATCTACTGTTTCATGTTGGCCTTTAGGTAGCGTAGCTGAAGTAATCCAACCGTATGGTATACTGTACATGCATTCACATGCGTCGGCTTTACATATGCATGCATAGCATGGCATGCATATGAAACCATCGTGCACGAGGTTATATGTGACTCGGTGTCACCAAGTAATACTCACCATGTAAGACCCAGTAGAGCAGTGCTTGGAGGTGTTCTTCCTGGTCTATATAGCCTTAGATGTTGATTTCGTGAGGTAGATATATGTTTACGTGGATGTGATCAGAAAGAGAGGAGAGAGATGGGGAGAAGGCCTTGCTGTTCTAAGGAGGGACTCAACAGAGGAGCATGGTCTGCTCGTGAGGACAATATCCTTGTCGACTACATCAGAACTCATGGCGAAGGTAAATGGAGAGACCTCCCCAAGAGAGCAGGTAAGGTTTAGTTCCTCTCGGAAGCATTCATCGATCTTCCTGTTCGTCCTCTAATCAAGCAAGCATGTTTCGGGTGTTAGGGTTGAAGAGGTGTGGTAAGAGCTGCCGGCTGCGGTGGTTGAATTACCTGAGGCCAGACATCAAGAGAGGCAACATCACACAAGATGAAGAGGATCTCATCATCAAACTCCATGCACTTCTCGGGAACAGGTAGTTGTTTCTTACACTTGAATGATCTCCAAGAACTCAGATCACTTCACTTGATTTATGTTGCTGTGTGTCTGTAGATGGTCCCTAATAGCAGGCAGATTGCCGGGGCGAACAGACAATGAAATCAAGAACTACTGGAACACAAACCTGAGCAAGAAGACGATGCCTCCGCTTTGCACCAAAGGGTCATCGAAAGAAAAGGAGGAGAAGAAAGTGGGGTCGTCGGAGGAGTTGAAGGCAGCAGGTGAGCAACTTCCCGCCCATGTGATTCAGACCAAGGCCGTAAGGTGCACCAAAGTCTACCTCCCATCGCCACGAGATGATCCACTGACCACGGGCCCCAGTTCCGAGCTTACTCACGGCGAGAGCCCGTCGTCGTCGGTGCCTCGAGACGCCGATCCCGCAAGCTTCCTTGAGGACTTCGACATGGATGAGTTCATGTCGAGCTTCCAGGAGGACGGCCTCCTGCAACTCTGCGTTGACGAAGCCCACGAAGACGCCAACTACGCACGTGAAGATGCCGACGATGACTCGCTATGGTTTTGTGACCCCATGCAGATGGATCTGAGCGATGGTAACAGTTGCACAGAATCACAGGTAGCCGCTGAGGTTGAGAGATTGACTTATTTGATAGATTGTGAAGAAGAAGCGCAAGACAAATAATTGCGGTAAAGGGACAGCTCTTTTTATGGGGAGATCCCACTTCCGGTATGTATCAGATGCACCTCAGCTAGCTTCTGCCTGTTCTATCAAGCACTGTGCATCAGTTTTCTACAAAACAAGAACAGTAATTAGAATTAATATGATGTCAAATTATGTCTTTAATTTAAGTTCATATGTATATGATAATCGTGGTCCTTTCTAAAATATAAATGTAGTCCTTTTTAAAATAATAGTAATAAGATACTACTAACCTAAAATCAGATCAAATAGAAAATAAAAAAAACTAAGACATAAATATATATATATATATATATATTGAATTAAAAAAATACTTTTAATATCTTAAACTACTCTTAGACTTGTGCCATATAGACTTAAATACTTAGACTTTGATAGATCTACACATATAAATTTAATTTATTTAGAGGTATAGAATAACAACTTAAACTAAAAGATCCTTATCTTTAAAATTATATCTAATCAATTTACTTAAAAGATAAGATAAAAAATAATAAACTAAAATCTTCCAAAAGATATACTTCAGATCTTAATACTCCCCCTTCAATTATATTTTTGAAGATAAATCTTAGCTTCCTTTAAAAGAGAGAGATTTATTAAAGATATTATCTTTGCTTTGATCTCGATAATTTTAATAACTCATTGCTTGACAAATTAGATTTATAGCTAATGTCAATATATTTTGATTATGATATTGTAAAATAGTTGATTTATTAATTTGATAGTAAACGTCATTGATTAAATGTCTTCACCATATATATTTTTTAGTAGAAAGTGAAGAAATCTTGTATTCTACTTCGATTATAGAAAGAAAGATTAATTATTATTGTTTATTATACCGTGAGATGCAAGCAAAATCATATTAAAAGAAATAACCATAAATCTATGATTATCCAAATCATCTCCTTGCATAATTTTACAATTCAAGATGTTTGTCCTTCAAATTCAAGATTTATCTCATACATTTTAAAACTTGCTTTGCTACTTCAAGATGTGATTTTTTTTGGAGTTTACATAAAATGACTTGCAAGACCACTAAAAAATATAATATTTGATCTTATAATTGTCAAGTAAATAAGATTACCAATAAAAACATGAAAATATTGAGGAAACCTTACTATTATTATAATTTAGCTTTATAATTATATCCAATGGAGTAGAAACCTACTTACTTTTATTAATTATAAACATTTCAATAATTTTTTTTGCATAACTTATCTAAGAGATAAATATATCTTCTTCTTTTTTGTTGCATTCATTACCTTTAAACTAGAAAAAATATTAAGCTCCCGTAAGACTTTCATTTTAAACTAGAGAAATATCATTATAAAATCTCTATTTTGTTATTATCAATGATAGTCATATCTGGGGACTTACTTTAACTAATAGAGGGTTTTCTTGAGCTTACAAACATAATTTAGTTTCAAATATAAGTATTAAATATTCCAATAGTTGATCTATATAAATGTCCTTATTAATTTTATCATATAGGAAGACATTCTTCACAAAGCTTCTATTTAATATTTTCTCTTAATCTTCTTCATATTTTTAAAAAAATCTAATTATAATAAGTTTTGCCTTATAAAAATCTATACTTCATCTGACTTATATTGCATCTTATAAACCTATTTGCAAGTAATTAGATCGATATTTAGGGGCTTTAGCGTAAGATCCTAAGTTTCATTTTTGTGAAGAGCCTTTATTTCTTCATCTATGGCATCTTTCCACTCTTTAACATCTTTGGCTTCATCAAAATAAGTAGGCCTAATATTATCAATTGATTTTAAAAAAATTTAACAGAGGCATATATTATCTCCATGGGTTAAAAAGTCATTCTTTTTTATCTTCTTAATGTTGAAATTCTTATTTGATGAATATCAGTACTTCCTTTATCACTTTGCTCCACTATTGGTGATAAAAAAAATAATAGAAGTGGCAGTTAAAAAAAAAGAAGATGAGTCAAAATCCATAAGAGCACTAAATAACAAAAAATATGATTTTAAACATATATCACTTTTACTATTGTGATTAATATTTTTAAAGAAAATAACTTGTGAATGATAATAAGAAAAACTTTATTTCATACCACATACAAAGAAAACAACTTGTGAATGATAATAATAAGAAACTTTATTTCATACCACATACGGATCCACAATTGATTTCTTACCAAATATGAGCTCATATATGAAGATTTCATTGATTTGAATAAAAGGAGTTCAATTAATAACATAAAATACACATGTCAGACCGTTTGCTCATAAAACTCTAGGTAACTTCATTACATAAAGTTAACACTTATAAGTCTTCACGAGATACCAAATTTTTGTTCTGTCACATCGAGGATGCTTGACCTCCTTCATCATCTCATCATCTCCTAAAGATCTGCAAGGAAACAAGGATATATGATCTCCCTAGATAACACAATTTACTCTATACACAGTTTTAAGTTTCACAGATTTTGCGCATTAATCTTTGCACGACAACGAACATCTCTCTAGGAATAGGGGATTTTGTTTTTCTTGTTCTTCCACTGCGCATGTGATGTCGCCACCAGATTTCCCAATAGTGGTATCAGAGCCAGGTTGTTCGTGCTCCACATCATTATTGTTGTATAACTTTTTAATTTTTTCTTTCAATAGCACTCTCAACAATTAACTTGAATACTTAATATTTTAAAAATACTTTTGATTTTTTTCTTCACATAGTAAACCCAAATAAACCTTATAAAATTATCAATAAATATAAATATATAATTTGAATATAAATAAGATGGAGCTCGAGTAGGATCAATAGATCAATTGTGAATAAACTCTAAGCTACGAAGAACATTTATATTTTAAAAGTGATATATCAAAAAGTTATTTGTGTATCTTGTCATATTGACTATATTCATTAGCTTCATTACTGTTAAAAAATAATAATATTGAAAAAATCATTAACTACACTTTATGCATTGTATCCAAATCTAAACACAGATTTAGATGGATCAACACCATGTATTTATTAAATAGATATTGAATAATAATTTAAATCAAGAGACTATTATTACTGAAACTCTATCTAATTAATTTTATTTAAAAGATAATAATCTAAAATCTTCTAAAACATATACCTTAAATCTTAATAGTAACTTCAATTTGGAATTGTTTCTCAATAACAAAAGATTCGAGTCATAAAAATACCTCTTCATTTTTATAAATTTTTTTATAAATGGTCATGAAAATAAATTAAAGGCTAAACATTTTATTAAATTTTGAGCTTATCTCCTTCGCCTACATAAAGTTACCTATTATTAAGACTCACTTGTGGAAATTTGAATTTAAAGTATATATTGTAATAATGTTTGAACTCTTTGAATAAGATCCCAACACAAAAAAGAAAGCTTCAATATCAATCAACTAGAAAGAAAAGAAAGAAGGAAATACTTATACTTGCAAATCCTTGAAAGGAAATAGTGCTTCATTTGCACATTAGATAGCTTTTACTGCCTATCTTTGAGAGAATCTCTTGCCTTAAAAGTTTGCATTTCCATTATTGATCAACCGACCCATTCAAGCTTAATATTGGCGCTTAACATATGCTTGTGAGATTTAATTGTAAATGTTGATTATTAATTGAGCCCACAAAAGATAGTGTAAATATCATTTTTAATTTATAAAAGAGATTGAAAATGTGAACTCTAAAATAGAATGCAGGAGTAAGTTGTCTAAGCTATAAGATGATGAGTAGATGAATATTATTGGTTTGCTATCGAGCTCACACTAGAAGTTTTCATATATTGATCTTTACAGACAGAAAGAGTATTTATTATTTTATTAATATAGATAATTTTAATGAGAAAGGAGTTGAAGCACAGCATAGGTGTTAGGAGTCATATGTATCTTATTAATATAATATATCGTTCATTATCTATTAGTCCGGAAAATGATAGATTTAATAATAATAATAATAATAAACTATTATTTTTATTTTTTATTTTATATAATTAAAGAAAATTCTGTTTTGTCATAAAACAAACAAAAAAAATCTAATTAAATCGCACATAATAGAATACGAATAGTGAGGTTTCTATTTAAATGCGCGTTCGGAACCGCTGCTCTTCCAAGGAAGCGACCGCTAGGGTTTGAGAGTCTTCCGCCGCATCCCAAACTCACTGGGGTTTTGCTGACCGCGAAGCAATCACGACTCGCAATCGAAGCCCTCGATTGCTCTCTCTCGTCCTGCAATGGCGTTTTGGGGTCAGAAATCGTCTCGATTGCAGTTTTCGTTCCACCTTTCTACCTCCGAATCTGTTCTTTCTGACTCGCTTTGTTTGCGTCCCTCTGCATCTCAGGCGTCGAGGTGAAGCCTGGGAAGCCCTACACTCATGTCTACGACGAAGCTCGAGGAAGGCTTCGCATCACTATGGTGCTTTTCCTCGTCAAATCGAAGACGCCGCTTGGATGTAATTGATGGATTAGGGCTTTTCTGTTAACAGAGAATTCATTATTCTTGTTTTCTGTTAATACAGGCGACGTTGGGGAATGGCAAGGCGACGTCGAAGAGCGTGGTGCAGTGCAATGTTGGCAAGAAAAGCCCTATTTTGCTCTGTAGCTTGGTTCCTGATAAAGCTGAGTCGTGCCATTTGGAACTCGAGTTTGAGGAGGATAACGAGGTTGTCTTTTCGGTCCTCGGGCAGAGAAGCGTGCACCTCTGCGGTTTCTATCCAGGTGCCCGCCGTGGCCACGGTGACGGAGGAGATGAGACGTATCCTTATCAATTTCAAGAATTAGTGTTTTAAGATGCTTTTCTTTGTTCTCCTGGTTTTATCCTTGAGTTGGTCTTCTAGTGATTCATATGGTGAAGATATTGGCGAGGAGGATTCAGAGAGCTACGGGAGCTTTGATACTGAGGAGGATGAGTATGAATCAGACTTTATCGATGATGGTGATATCGAAATGTTCCCCTCTTCCCCTCAGCGAAAAAGCAGTGGTAATTTTATTATGTTAATTGATTTATTCAATTGTTTGCCAAGTTACTTCAGAAGCATGATTTGGAAGGCAATTTTTCGTTATTTGTGATGTATCTATGTCACATTATAGTGATGATTTTGTCTATTGGTGTTGTGGTATTTGCTAATTCGTGTCATGATTAACGTCTTTCCTGCTACAATATATAAATATCTTTTCAAGCTAAGATTGTTTGATATAGCTTTTACTAACAGTGTTGAGGATAATTTTTCTCAGGTGAACAGTTTTAGAAGCTTGAATCACAATAGTTATGGATTTTTTAGTTGCAGTTTAATTATTGTCCTATATTCCTGCAAAACTATCTTGGTATTATTGTCCATAATAAATGTTATATGGTGTATGTAGGGCTGAAACTAGGGCAAGTTTGGGTTGGGTTATTTGTGAACTGTCACCTAATGAGTCAACCCCATTGCTCAGTTCATAACCAAAAACGATGTGATGTCTAGCTTGGGCCATCAACGTTGGCTACCTGTCGAGCTTGGGTCTAGTTGGTCCATTGGGTTGGATGGGTCGGCCTGCAAAATGGGGAAACCTAAGTTGAAACTATTGAACTTTGTGATGCTTTATAAAGATTATTGGCATTGAAAATATTATTTTTGAATTGGTGGCTCAGCAAGGTTGCAGAGGGGTTCTGGACAGTCTTTTATTCAAGGTCGGCACAATGGCTGTGCATTATGAGAGTGAGAGAAGGGCTTAATCACTCTCAAAAGCTATTGACAATCGCTAGAGTGGGAACTATGAGAATACTACCACCCTCCAATTCCATATTAAACTCTTATTCTAATTCCTCTTGTTTTCATTGGAGAATTTGACCACTTACCTCGTATCCTCAAATCTGAGCTTCACCATTTATTTGCATATATCTGACCAGAACTAGTCCACTGCAAGGTGATGGTTGTGTAGAGAGTTGATGATGATGATATGGCACCACGATTCCACTTTTTGGTGCAGTGGGGACAAGAGAGGTGGCGAAGCAAATGGATAGTGAGATGTTAATACATATTTTTAAGAGTTAATTGTGCATGTTTTCTTCTGTGAATTGTTAAAAGACTATAGTTTTGATAGTATCTACATCTATGAATTGAATGTAAAAGGTTGCTACTTGGGTTTAACTTGATTAGTGCCTAATTTTTTAGCTGGAAGTCTTTGTCTTTTTATTTGTTTCTATTTTGAACGGGAATTGTGCCAGACTGAATTTTGAGTTTGTATCAATTTCTAATATAAGAAAAAAAATGACTTGATCTTTTTATTAAAAAGAACAGCTAGTTTTCATAATTGAGTTTAACCAATGACATTTTCTGTGTCTCAAATTGGAATTGAACCAGTTAAACTGACTAATGGGTTGATCAGTTAGTCGGTTTGATGAGTTTAGTTATGTGGTTCTTGGTTGACCAAAGAGCTTTTCATGGAATATTTTATGGAATATAGATAAGTATATTTGCCAACTTATAAGGTTCAATATAAACAAATAGTTTGATAAAAAAAAAAAAGTTAAATACAAAACAAAAAAAGTAAAGACATTAATACATCATGTATGACAAAAATATGAGAATACAAATATTGATACAAAATTTGCAGGCAGCATTTGACCTATTATATAGGTTTATACAATCTAGACATACACTAACCAATTGAAATGAACCAAATAAATAGGTGGTTTGGTTGGTAAGGTTAGTAAATTCAACTTTATGTTGACCTTTAAGAATCGAAAGGCCTGTACTGAAATCAGATGGGTTGCTTTGCTTAACCATATTTTTCTGTTCAGATAATTGGTTTTCAAGGCCCCAGCTGTTTTGCTTTTTGTCAACTATCATCAATGGATGTTGATTATCCATCAGCGCATCCTTATAAATGTATTTACTATGCATTAGCCATTGCATGATTGCTTTCTTTTTGATCTTTGACTAGTTTTATGTTGTTCCCATGGCCTTGTTAAATTGTCATCCTTTTCTTTTAAACATTTAGTCATAATTGATTATCCATTAGTTCATCTTGATCATTAATCATTTCATGATTGCTTTCTTGTTGATATTTGACTAGTTTTATACTGTTTCCATGATCTTATTAATTGTATTGCCCTTTTCTTTTAAACATGTAGTCATAATTGAGGAGATTGTAGATGATGACAAGCCAGCACATGGGAATGGCATTCGTCGGCGTTTAAAGAAAAAGAGTCAATTGGTTGAAAGTGATAGTGGAGATGATGATACTAAACTTCAACTAGTTGTCAAGTCTAATAATAATACTGAAGTGTTTGAAAGTGAAGATGATGATGGCTTTCCAATCTCTTTTTCAGTAAAAAAGAAAGATGCTGCTAATAATTTTGAGGTGGATAAAAAATCAGGTGCTACAGTCAATGACGACAAGAAAATAAAGATTGATGCAATTAGTCAACGCGATGAATCTACAAGGTTTGACTTGTTTCAGAATGTGTTGCAACTTCTTTTTCTTATTGTATTACAGCGGCATGTATGGATGTGTTTGAACAGGGATGCTACTCAGCCATGCGATTCTTCAGTAGCTTCTGTGGTTGTTCCTGAAACTGATGGCATCTCAAAGAAGAAAAAGAGGACAAGAGAAGATGTTGCAGAGGCAAAAACTGAGACCAATGAGAACAATCATATGATAGCACTCAGAATGGATGTGACAGAAAGTGATGGAAAGAAGAAAAAGAAGAAAGAGAAGACCAAGAAGGATAAGAAATCTGATGTAGGTGATGATTATGCAATGGAGAGAACAGAAGAAGGGTTTAAAGGAGATGGGAATGAAGTTTTCAATGCCAGTAGCTTAGAGAAAAATCCTCCTCTTGAAGCTGAGAAGCTGCATTATGATCAGTGAGACTTATGACCATTATGACTTGATAAGCCTTTGAATCTATCTATTGAATTATCTGCATATTGCAAAGTCCATTCTTCCTATTCATCTTTAGTTGTCTTCCTTTTGTTCCGCCCTGCAGTGATGGAAGCGCTAGTGGAAAAAAGAAGAAAAACAAAAAGAAAAGGGCCAAGGTTGATGAGGCTCATGAAAATGCTGGTGCAGATGCCGAAGCAGAATTACAAGAGGGAAGCCAGCATGGAACAAAAAGTAAGTTGGATTCTGATGATACTGAGCTGCAAGAGTCTGCAAATAATCACCACTCTGATAATCTCACAGTTGAAGAGCCACCTAAAGATAGGTAAGATCTGGTCTCTTGTAAAAATGGTCTGTTATTTATATTGTTGTTTATGTGAAAATTTTATATGGTTAAGCAATGTATGCAGTGTTCCTGATGACAATGGTCTTGCACAAGATGCCAAGAAGAAGAAGAAGAAGAAGAAGACAAAGAAGGACAAGAGCCATGATAAAGATTCAACTTCAAAGGAGGTATCTTTGAATCCACTAGATGCAGAACACAAAGCTGAACCACAAAAAACAAGAACATTTTCAAATGGTTTGAGGATTGAGGAGTTATCTATGGGCAAGCCTGATGGAAAAAAAGCTTCTCCTGGGAGTAGGGTATATTCATGAACCTAGAGATGCAACCATTTAGATCTTCCAGTATGTCGTTGTTACATTACTCCAAGTGTCTTTAAAGATTAGTTGTTTGTGTACTCAGTTCATCAATTAGTTCTCCCACATCTTTTTCTCCGTCAGCAGAGTCAGCATATTCTTTATCCTTTTATTGTTGTTCACCTAATATTTGGTTAGTAATCCTATTGGTTTTTTCCCTTCAGGTTTCTGTTAACTATATTGGCAAGTTAAATAATGGAAAAATTTTCGACTCCAATATTGGCAAAAGGCCCTTTAAATTCCGTCTTGGTAAGGTTCTATTAAGCTGGTCTTTTGTTGGTTAACAACCTCCATTTAAACATGTTCTATATGTCTAATGTGACAATTTTCATTTTAATTGTCAGGTGTTGGGCATGTCATTAAGGGATGGGACGTCGGCATTGCAGGTACATGCCAGTACACTATGCACATATTGTTCTAATCTGTTGCCAGAAACTAATGATGCATTTGATTGATTACCAGGCATGCGAATTGGGGACAAGAGGAGACTCATCATTCCACCATCTATGGGGTGTGCATTTCATCCTAATATATGTGCTTCAGTTGTTGCTCACACAGAGCCTTTTGTCCTCTAATTTCTGTGTGCTGCTCTCTTTATGCAGTTATGGGGCTAGTCCTGCGGGGAAAATACCAGGGAATTCATGGCTTGTCTTCGATGTGGAGCTGGTGGACGTCAACTGAACTCTTCACTCCACGTGTGTGAGAAATTTTTGCTGGATAGTGGATACATTAGTTCTGATGTCATTTTTTACCATGCCATTGTGGTTGCATTGTCCCGAAAATTTCTATACCAAGAGGTCTTTACAAACTTTAATTACTGATGCAATTTTTTCCCAAGCATATGTATTCTCTCGTTCCAATAGTATATGCCAAGAGGTGTTTGATAACTTTACAGGGAAGTATTGCTCTTTTCACATTGCTTGGTAGTTATCCTCTTAATACTTTCTTCTAATTACCCATATTGGAGTGCCTCCTTTGGTCAACTTACGAAGAATATCTTATTTGGAAGTTTAAGATTTTTTTTCCCAATTTCCTGTTCATTTTGTTTGGTCCTATCATTTTTTGTGCATCCTCTGGATTAATTAACTTAACTCAAAAAATTGTAGCATAATTGTGAGCCGTTGGATCCACTTCGAGACTGTTTTAGGATCCACATAATGTCACATTTGAGTTATTGGATATGCTTCAGAAATAATTTGAAAATTCCAAAACTAAAAACAATCATATTGGTTACCAATAATATAATGGAGAATATGATTGATTCTATATTGATTCGAAATCTTGAGTTATTCAACTTTGTGTTAATCTAGATCTACTGCCGAAATAATTAAAAAAATCCAAAACTAAAAGCAATCATATAAAATTCAACTTTTTATAAATATTTAGAATGTTTTATGTTTAAATAGAAAAAAAATATTTTCAACTAATTTTTTTTTAAAAAATGTTCGATCAGTTAAAGTATTAATCGATAGCGGGTCATAAGTGATGCAATGACACAAAGGTCTGTCCTCGTAAACACTACATCAAAAAGCAAAGGCACATTCAACGAAACGGAAGAGGTGATCAAGTCAGTGGGGGGTAAATTTCCTCTAATGGCACGGCATGAAGGTGATTCCATTAATAAGGGTGCGAGCTTGAATGATATAGTCCACTACCATCGAAACATGCCTTCCACTTTACTTTGTCCATTCATTTGATCCGATATCATTAGCACTCAACTCATGTCCATGCCAAAGCGCAAGTGTTTGGTCTCCAAGATCCAAGCACTCGAACCGAAGCACAAAATTCTTGACCTTTTTATCATAATCTTTTTTTTTTTCGATCCTTATATCATATTATCAAACACCCAAATTTTCATTGATGATGTGATGAAATTTCGAGTCCTCAACCTCAAATACTACAATCCTTATTATTTATTTTCCATTATGCATGCAATTAAACCCAAATGAGTACTAGATTTGTTCATAAGGGTTTTTTGATATTGATATCCCTCGTCTTCTTCGAGTCATAAGGAGTTGCATAGGCCAGCAATGGTCACAGGGAGACAGAGAGAGAAAGAGAGGCAGGCTGATGCCACTCGAAGGTGGTGATGGGCTGGAAGCCGACATACTTCCACGCTATTGGATGTCAAAGTTATTGAGGAGCTTTTAGGCACCAAACAACACAACTAATCCCATCATCTCCAACACTCGATTACACCACCCACTTGACATCATGAATAGAGCCTCCCAAAGTTCCATGGACCTTTGTCCAAATTCAACGCTTTTGAGGCTATCACTCGCTGCGGTGACTCATCCCAACCTTTCTTTATCCCTTGACTCCAAACAACGAACAAATCGTCATATGCTTAGACTAATGTCCAATTGCGAAAGTGGGAGGGAGCTTCGTGTTCGAGTAGAACTGCTCATGGAGAAAGAAATGTCTGTGGAGAAACGGCCTCCATTATCTCGCCTACGTTGACCGCGAAACCCTTTCATTTTTCTTCTTCTCCTTTCCAACAAAAATAATTGAGTATGCAAAATATTATAAGCGATGAGGTCAACACTAGTCATAATTAACTGAGGCTGTTCTATGATCTTATCAGAACGCCATCAGAATTTCTAATTGGACACCAAAGCCTTTTTGAGTCTTACGACGAATGTTATCCGATAAGGTTCACAGTAGCTCTCAAGAATTGTCCTTTTCTTTGAGATGGATCCGAAAAGACTTTTGGAGAATCTCCCGTTCCCTTTGGCTATCTATTAGGTCGTGACTATTTCACTCTCCGACCAACGGAAGTATGACGGTATCAATCAGTACAGACGATAGACTTCAGGGCATGTCTCACGAATTCCAAAGACGCTGGCTGCGATCGAGAGTGTTCATGATATGACTTACTATGACAGGTTCAGAACCTGAAGAAGGTGGGAAGAAGAAGTCCCTCTAAAAACTAGCAACCTATCAAAAGTCCTCCGCCTGCTTCTTGAGGCAATATGATCAACTCGTTGAATGCTGTACTTTCAATCAAAACTCCGCATTTATGAATGAGATTAAAGCAAGAAAGTAAACGAACGAAAAAGACATGACAACAGCTACAGCTTGAAATACAATCAAAATAAACGAGATGTCATGATATCGGATATATTAATCGACAAAATACAATCAAAATAGCGATTCGAAGGACAAGGGATGGTGGCGGCAGTAATGGAGATTGTGGAAATAGGTATTTAAAGAAGGGAGATTACGTGCGTCATTTGCTCACTACTTTAGGATACGGAGAAGAAGAGGAGGAGGAGAGCCGAATTGGCAAGCACAAGGCGATGAGAATGGGCACGAGCAGGCGAGACTACTGACGCACGCGCGGGTGGGGGAAGGGGGAGGAGAAGGAGAGGTAGAGAGAGAGAGAGACAGGTAGAGGGAGAGAAGGTGGACTCTCCACAAACGCCAACAAAACCCTGCCTCCTCCACTCATTCCCAGTTTACTTCTGATGGTGGAGTACTCCCCCACGCTCGACAGATGCCCAGGCACGTGCGGGCCCCACCTGCTCCTTCCTCCCCCATCCGCAACCCCGTCCGTGACGGTTCTCCTCCTCCTCCCTTTCCTCCGTCGTCTGAGCCGTGCGCCGTGAGTGCGTGCATGCATATGGTGTGTTCGCAGCTGCTTGCCTTCGTTGATCCGTTTCCTCTTTCTTTGGAGTTCAGCTAGCGAACAAGGAACGTCGTGCCCGTAACACTGTGGCATCTTCATCACACGTATCCGACGAGCATTGGAGAGGAGAGAAAGAGAATTAGGAACCAAGGTGTTCTTTCCACCTTCATCACACGTCAACGTTATCCAAACTGTGTATCCACATTTGTATCAAAATTTCAACTTGTAGAAGATGATAGATACTGCATGCTATTCTCTCTCTCTCTCTCTCTCTCTCTCTCACACACACACACATATATATATGTATATGTATATATATGTATATATATATATGTATATATATATATATATGTATGTATGTATATATATATATATTCTCTCTCTCTCTCTCTCTCTCTCTCTCTCTCTCTCACACACACACACACACACACAGGAACAATAGTTTCTAAAACCCAATTGTAACTTAAATCTCAAAAGACACAATTAATATAAACCAACACAATGAAGTAACCTATAAGTTTCACACTTACTACAAACACACAACAATGGAGTGCATGTCTACTTATAGAACCACACAATGATGCAACATTGGTAACAAGCCAACAATTAAAGATCACACACGCATGTATATTATCCTTCCAAAAGTTACTGATCCTAATATTTCACATTCTAAATTTGAGTTTAACAAGCATATTCTTGCAAACTTTAGAATGCATATCTCACATTCTAAGGTTTTTGATCCTAATATTTTAGCTCAAGATTGAACTTTGTCTTGATTTGGTTTTATCATGATCGAATTGAAGTTCCATTCAAACTTCAATCGAGCCAAATTAAAATTGATTCGAACTCTACTAGATCATCCTGATCATTTCAAATGCCTCATCATCCTTTCTCGTTTTGCTTCTACTACATGTTTTCTTTCTTTCTTTTCTATTTATCTCAGGTTTTCTTTCCTTTTATTTTTGCCTTCTCACTGCACCAGACTCTAATCTTAAAAGCTAAAATACATATCATAAAGATGACATCATCGAAGAGGATGTAAAGACTTCAATAGTTTTTGAAATGATACTAATGTCAACTGAAATTTTAACATCATTAGATCATAGTCAACTAATGGGAATATATATGTATAAGCTTTGCAAGAATATACATGTTAAACTCAAATTTAGAATGTGAAATCTCAGGATCAATAACTTTTGGAAGGATAATATACATGTGTGTGTGTGTGTGATCTTTAATTGTTGGCTTGTTACCAATGTTGCACCATCGTGTAGTTCTAAAAGCAGATATGCACTCCTATTGTTGTTTTGATGTAGTAAGTATGAAACTTATAGGTTACTTCATTGTGTCGGTTTATATTATTTCTGTATTTTTCTGGTTATGTTCTACAAATAGATGAATATACATGTAAAGTTTTTTTACTTCTTGTCATGATATTATGCCATATATGTTTTTATTTGCTAAGTTCAGCAAGTCGATAATTAGATATTAGCTTTGAGATTTAAGTTACAATTGGGTTTTAGAAGCTATTGTTCCCAAATAACCTTTTGATCTTTCAACATTTCCTATTAGACAGCATTTTAAGTGCATATAATTTATTAAAACCGGATCTATTGATGGTCTAATAATAATAATAATAAAAGGAATCGGACCATCAATTATTCTGATCGATTATATTAGCCTTAAATTTGAATCCTCTTACTATTTTTTTTAGGGTTTTTGAAAAAAAAATACATTATTCAACCCTTTTTTAAGCGCCAATGTATCATTTATATATTTTTTTCTTGTTAATATCCTCATTTGTTTTTTTAATAATCATTTTTGTTCTTCCATTTTCCATCCCTTTATTTGTTTCTTTCATCACCACTCTCTTTTGACAATTCTAAGGAGTGGCTTAGTCTACCTAAATTAACACAAGCTTTTATTCTCAGCTCAATTTAGAATTTTCCATTTCAGAGTTTTCACATTTTCTTTTCTTCTAAATGAAATCCTTGATCAATGTAGAGATGCTATCATGCTCACGCTACGTATCTATGTAGGTATAAATCTAGATCTTAGAGAATCTCAAGTGGACTTCAAGCATAGATATATTCTGCCATCTTACATCTTATATATATATATATATATATATATATATATATATATATATATATATAT